TATCTTCATGAGCTTTTATCAACTTCTTTGAGTATTGTATCAACTTTTTTCAGTTTGTCATGAAAATATCGTTGGCTAGTTTTCCATTTTTTCAATTACTGTTACAAACAGTTAATAAAAGTTAGAACACGCATTATAGCATACTTGCGACCGGGCTTTTGTCGGGCCTTCGCGGGATCTGCCATAGCTTCTTTTAGAATCAATATTTTCAGACCAACTAAATTACAGACGATAGAACTCGGCGAATGCTACAAAATGATGTTATTTGAAGAACTCTGTCTTGTCTATGAACAAAGTTACAGACAAAAAACAAAGGCCCGGTCCGAGCCGACGCGACAAGGCCCGGCCCGGCCGCTTTATGGCTTGTAACTTTGTTCATAGACAAGACACAGTTTTCTATAGTATCATTTTGTAGTACTCGCCGAGTTCTATCAGATCTAAGTTAGTTGATCTGAAAATATTGCTTCTGAAAGAAACTGTGGCAAGGCCCGCGAAGGGCCCGGCAAGTCCCCGGTCGCAAGTATGCATTATAGTGAATTTTCAATCTATTCGTAGGTTTAAATATTTGTCATATTATCACCAACATTTTATTAGTTGACAAGTTTTTGATAGATATTACAAAAATCGAGATAATTGAGCTCAAAGTGAAAGTATAGCTTGGCGTGCTATTAGATCATGTATTTTCAGATAAGGATTAAGAATTTTGGAGTTCTAATGACTCCTATCTCTTTTAATCAAATAAAACAATGTGTCATCATCTATTATACAATATATCTCTCCCATGAAACTTTACACATTTTCGTCTGGTCACTTGAGAGCCAGGAGGGTTCCATCACCTCCTTCTCTCTCTCTCCCTCTCTCCTGTGCTCGTCGTCCCCCCCCCCCCAATTTCTTAACAAAAATTGAAAGAAAACGAGGGAAGAAGAGCGAAGAAACGGGTGTAAAGTCATGTATATAGTGAAACACAAGAATGAGGAGAGAGATACAGATTGAGGAGAGAGTGTTAGAGAAAAAGAGAGATTCGGTTCATTCTTCAGGAGATGGGGCATTTTGTCTCTCTGTGTTGGAAGGTGAAGGAGCAACATAATAGTTTTTTTTGTTTCACTTTTTTCTCGCTATTAAAAAACAAGATTCGGTTCCTTTAGTCGTCTGGGTCTCTAAATCTCTCATGGGAAAGTTCTAGAAGGTTTCGAAGATTCTAAATTATTTATGTTCGAAATTTATGTATTTTTCTCTTAACATCAAAAATCACTGAATTGACTTAAAGATATTCCAAAAATCAGAGTTTTCCCAAATTCAAAATTTTGTGACACATAATTCTTTTGAAAATTTACCGTTTCAGACTTCTCACGAAATTTTTGAAGTTTTCCAAAATGTGATCGTTGAAAAATGCATTATCTAATTTTCGGAACTCATATCAAAAATTGAATTAATTTTAGATTTTTCTGAAATCTTCTGCTTATCAGAAAAGTTTTTGGAGCAATTTTTTTTGAAAATTATACATTTTTCATTAAAAAAATTTTCTTTTGTCTCAATTGAGATTGAATTGAATTGAATTGAGGGGTTTCTCGGCAATTTTCTGCAGCACTTCTGCGTCCTTCTTAAAAACATATATAGAAAGTTGCTAGACATGACGCAGAAAGCTCACAGAAGTGCTGCAAAAGCGACGCAGAAAGGTGATCCTCCTATCTCGGCTGCGATAATGCTACAGATATGCCGCAAAAGTGATGTGAGGTGATTATAAAAATATCCTTTCTGCGTCGTTTTTGCAGCATATCTGCAGCACTTATGTAAGCTTTCTGCGTCATGTCTGGCAATTTTCTGTAAATGTTTTTAGGAAGGACGCAGAAGTGCTGCAGAAAGTTGCCGAGAAATCCCGAGTAAGTAGTGGTCCTTGAGTTTCTTAATACACACTTTTATAGAGAACGGCTTTGATTTTTGAGAGTTTAGACATTTTTTCAAAAAGAATAAATGAAAAAACTTCTTGTAATACTTCACATTTTCTGTTTCTCATTCGAATTATTGTATTACTTTTTTGAAAACCTGTATTTAGAGTTAATCATGTTTATCTCGTTTCTTGTGAAAGAAATCAAAAGGAAACCAACTAACAAATTATTCATCATAATATCAGTAATTTTCTATCAGTTGATCACTTTATGTTATCCTTTAAAGGAGTCGAGATAAATTAGGTCAAAGTTTTCAAAAAACTTTCCGACTTCACAACTTTATGAAACAGAATTCTTCTCAAAATCGCCGTTTCAGACTTCATATGAATTTTCCGAAATTTTACAAAATGGGATAGTTGAATGACACCCGCTCAATTATGTAACTTTTAGGACTCATATAAAAAAAAGAGTTTTCGAATTTCTAGATTTTGTTGAAATCTGCTATTTATCAGATTTTTTGCTAAACCTTTAATTAAAAAATTTGAATTTTTCATTAAAAACCATTTTCTTCGGTCTACCAGGCTGATATAAATTTTAAGCCAAGTTCTCAAAATTCAATTTCCACTCATTTCCTGTTTCAAGCGTTCACAAAGTATTGAATTCTTTTCTGGTTGTTTTACGTGGCATTCGAATAACTCTACGACGAGTTTCAAATCATTTCCATGAATTGGATCGTTTAAAAATTACCTTCAAAATTTTCGAAATTCTCCTTTTTTGCATTCCCTGTTTCAAAAGTTTAGCCATGGTCACTATCACATCATTTACTCCTTTTCTTTATTCATTGATTTTCAAACCAGCTCCTGACTATCAATTTTGACCCAATTTATCTCACTTTCCGTCTGACCATCTGAAAGTCTCCAAAGCTTTCCTTGTAAAATTTTTTTAAAAAGTTTTCGAAGATTCTAGATCCTTGATTTTTGGAAAACATAATCTCTACTCAAATCTCTACTCAATAATCATGTTACGAATTTTGCATTTTTATCCAAACTGAAAAAATAACCATCAACTCTAAAAATGATAATTTTGTAATTTGAAACTTCTATAATTTCGAATTTAAAGTAATTTGTGTAATCGGTCTTTCATCGCGTTATTGAATTTTGTTAAAGTTTCCTCCAATTCACAGCTTCCTGAAACATATTTAAAAATCACAGTTTCAGACTTTTCATGAAAATTTCTAAAATTTTCAAATAGTGATAAACAAGAATATCTCGACGAATTATTCAACTTTTAACATTCTTTTTAAATCGACGTTTCAAAATTCAAAGTTTTTGGAGCTAACTCATTTTGAATGTTAGCATTTTCCATTAAAAAACCATTTTGTTCGGTCTCAAGTGAGTGAAATAAAATTCGGTCAAAGTATTTGGACCATTCTATTACAGGTTTTACAGTAATCATTTTTCTGTTTCAGGCAATTGGGAAATGTTTATTTAAAAACTGTTCTTGCAATATGATACAACTTTTGGAAGACAAATTTTCAAAAATCAATTTCCATTCATTTCCTGTTTCATACGATCGCAAAATCCTGACTATTTCTGGGTGCTTTATTACTTAATCGATCAATAGTTCAAAACATTTTCATGAAATGAAACCTTTGACAATCCTCTCAAAACCGCGTAGCTCAGCTAACCATCAACTTTGACCCATTTATCACGCTTTCTATCTGATTATCTGGAAGCCTCTAAATATCTCTTGGAAAAAGTTCACTAGTTTTCGAAGATTCTAGATTCTTGATGTTTGATAAGCGTAATTCTAATCACTATTGATGTTATGAATTTTGTATTTTTCTCCAAACTGAAAAAATAATCACCAACTCTAAAAATGAATAATTTGGTAATTTGAAATTTCTATAATTTCGAATTTGAAGTAATTGAAAATTGTGTTATTCATCTTCCATCACGTTATTGAATTTTGTTAAAGTTTTCTCGATTTCACAACTTTTTGAAACAGAAAAAAACTTCTCAAAATTACGGTTTCAGACTTTCCATGAATTCACTGAAATTTTCAAAACCGTGTTAATTGATTAACAGATTTCAGATCATATAACGTTTAGAATTCTTTTCAGAAAATTTCGAATTCCAAATTTTTTTCTGAAATTTCCTATTCATCGAAAATATTTGAAGCTAACTTTTTTTTTCGAAAATTCGACTTTTTTTTCATAAAAACATTTTCTTCGGTCTCAAGTGGTGGTTCTTGAGTTTTTTTAAAATTACATCCTTCCTTTTTTGAGAACGGCTTTGATTTTTAAGGCATTTAGAAATACAATTTATTCAGAATAATGCTTCCAAAATATTCCAACAAAATTTTAAATAATTTCCTGTTTTACATTCATATTGTGAACATACTTTTAAAAAACCTCAGTTAAAAGAATTCTTGGTTACAATCATCCACTTTTTCTCGATTCTTGCGAAAGGTTTCCAAAAGCAGTCTACTTACAACATTTTTATCTACATGTTAGTAATTTTTATCGGTTCACCTCTTTTTGATATCTTTTATTAGAATTGAGATTAATTGGATTAAAGTATGAGGGCTCATAGATCTCACAGTAATACTTTTTTCTGTTTCAGACAACTGTGAAATGTTTCTCAAAAACTATTCTTGCAATAACCCTATCATTGAACTTCAAATTCAACTTTTTAAAAATCAATTTCCATTTGTTTTTTCTGTGTTATGCGCGCGCAAAATGTTGACTACATGGAGGCATTTGAATCAAATAAAACTTTCGAAACGTTCTTCTCTTCATACTTGCAGAGTTTCTGATTTTTTTGTATCCCCTGTTTCGAAATCTTTTTTTATTTCATGGTGATAACTATGACATACTGTATACTATGTGCCTTTATTCCTTAATTTTCAAAACCTCCTAGCTCAGTGTACCATCAACTTTGACCCAATTAATCTCGGCTTCTGTAAGAGATATCAAAAAGTGGTCAACTGATAAAATGTTACTGATACTATGATAAACATTTTGTCAATTGACTGCTTTTTGATCTCTGTCACAGAAAAGGAGAAAATTTGGTATTCTCCTATTACCAAGTATCACTAATTTTCATTTCAGAGATGATGCACCATCCTTCCTCTCAATTTGGATCTAATTTGAAGGTAGTCTGTTTTCCCAAAGTATTACTTTTTCCCAAAATGTTGAATCTTTCCAGACCACCGAACCTGACACCAACAACTCCTATCAATATTCACAGAACCAGGACCCGAACGACTCCACATTTTCCCCAAAAGGCAACGTGGCAGCATTGAGAAATGTTATCCATGGACAGCTGGACATGAAGACACCATCAGGAAAGACGCATGATAATTCCAGATATCAGAAGCCTGCGCCACCGCCAGTTGGTAAGATTTTTTTAAAGTTTTTAGGCGGGAATTCAAGTGAGTGTCAGAAAAATTTTCTGTTCTAATTTATTGGTAAAACTTTCGGCTCTAGTATGAAATTCTGGTCCTTAAAAAAAATTCTGGTCCTTAGAAAAAATTCAGGTCCTTAAAAAATTCTGGTCCTTAAAAGGTGTTCTTGCAAATGTATTTTTTCGTCTGAAAATTTCTTTAAATTCTTGAATTTCGTCATTTCAATGTGTTTTTGAATGATTTCGATGGTAGACTTCAAGCTTCTCTTTATTCGGAAGATCATGAATAGGTGAGAACGTTTGTCAATTAGACCGCATGTCCTATCTTCAAAACTGAAATCAAGAAAATAGAAAATATTTACATTTTGACTTTTTATGATTTAACGGGAGTCTTAAGAATAGGTGGGAGTCTAATGATAGACAGGGGGTTTCAAAATTTTAGTGGGTTTCAAGAATAGACGGGGGTTCTAAAAGTTTATTATGGTCATGTTTGGGGAAATCCCCAAAGCCGTTACATCTTCAGTCTGTGAGGTGGTACACATGGGCGGCAATCTACTTTTGTGGGGTGGTACACATGTGCGTTCTACTTTTCAAAGCACTGCTCAGAAAGCTTTCTTTGAGATGAGGAATTTCTAAATCACCGAATATTTGATCTTCTGTACTTATGAAAATTTAGAGTTTTTCAATAATTGCAACTTGCAATCAAGGATTCTCAGAATTTTTGAAATGCTGACTTATTCAAGTCTAGGTTTGAGAATCTTCGGGTATCAGAATCGCATCATTAATCAACTAAAATAAGTTAAGCAGGACGCTGTAGCATTTTTTGACGCTAGGGATTCCCCCAATGTTCAGGTAGCTTGTGGATACCATGCTTCCAAAAGCAAACTGGCCGCGAATGAAAAGACCCAGTTAGGAGTTTAAGGAACGTGGAGAGCCGTCCAGCCAAAGCGGCTTGGGACTAACTTGACTTTGATTAAAAAACGCAGAATCTTATGTTGCAGGAAAAGTCAAGTAAAACCTGAGCCGTTTTAGCTGAACGGTTCTTCTTTACTCTTCCTTAATCTCCTGATTTGGCCCTTTCATTACTGAGTATTCGAAGTTATGCAACGCCACCAAGAGGAAAAATAATTAAACGCTGTTGATGAGAAAAAAACTGGACTGAAGGAGTACTTTGAGTAGCAACCAGCTGGCTTTTTGAGGAATGATATCCAAAAGTTTCCTGTATGTTTGCAACTTGTTGTGGGCCACAACGGTGCACACTGTCAATCTTGGATTAATCTTGTTTTTGCGTTACTCACGAATTAAAATATGGACAGTCCTTCCAACCTAAATCACCCTTCTAACCTAATATTTTCTGGATTTCTGTTTTGAAGAGGATATGCGGTTCAATTGACAAAAATTCTCACCAATTCATGATTTTCCGAATAGACAAAAGTTTGAACGTCTACCATCGAAATCTTTCAAAAACACACTGAAATGATGAAATTCAAGGATTTTAAGAAATTTTCAGACGAAAAAATACATTTACAGGAACACCTTTTAAGGATCAGAATTTTTTTTTCTAAGGACCAGAATTTTTATTAAGGACCAGAATTTCATACTAGAACCAAACTTTCTTGATTTTTTTTTGTTAATTTTAAGATGTGGATATTTATCAACATTGTTAGAATTTGTCTCAAAAAACCAATAAATAGATCCGTTTCTGCAACTCTGTTAATTCAGTCATGTACTGATATTTCCGATAGTCCTCTGCTGATATTTCAAATTCTGTAGCTGTTTCGTACAAAAAAGAGGGACCTGACATTTTGAATCTCCAAAAAAATTGCTGTTTTAATGAAGTCATAACCACTTTTATAACCTAACGAATCTGATCCCAAGGTTGATGACAAAACTTTAAGATTCTTTTAGAAAAAAATCACTGTTTTCTAGCCAAAAAACCATCAGATATTCTGATTACCGTAAACCCTGTATTAGAAAGATCCACCTAATTGAAATGCTCTCCTTGAGATCCACGAAAACAGGGAGGGTTTTTTTGGCTAAAAAAATTTGCTCCCAAAAATGCGTAGATTATAACTACACTGTTTCTGTAGCTCGTTGACTTTTTTTACCTTAAATTTTTTATGATTCGTAACTTTCTTACGCTTTCTTATAGAACACCACTTCATACTCTTGTTTTGACATATTTATCATAACCTCACTAATGTTTTATTAGTTGACAGATTCTTGATATCTTTTACAGAAATTGAGATAATTGAGGTCAAAGAAAAACTGTCCTTCTATCAGAGGAACGACTGTATTTTTTACTGTTTCTTCACGTTTTCAAAAGCTTGACTAACCACAAAAGTCAATAATAATGGTTTTTATAAAGTACATAGATAAAAGTTTAAAAAATATCAATTCAAAGACAACAAATTTGTATGGAGAACAAAAATTTTTAATGATTCAAACTGTTTCCACAACTTCATCATAGGAAAACTGTAATCAGTCTCCAATCCTTCACAGTACCAAAATCTTAAAATATCTTCTAAACTACTCAAATTTCTAAAGAACGTTCATTTGTCATTTTCATACCAAGAAATATAAATTTTGTCCAAAAAATCCCAATAAATTCACAGAAATAAGTTTCGTTTACTACTGTAGTGACTTTGGGGCAAGGCCTCGAAAATTGACCGGGAAGCCGCCCGCGAAATTTTCCAGATTCCACTTTTTTTAATTCGACAATAATTGAACAAAAGCAAGTCTAACATTCTGAAATGCTCTATATACTTTGAGCTCAATTTTCTCAACGTGAAGAAACAGTTAAAAAATACAGTCGTTCCTCTGATAGAAGAACAGTTTTTCTTTGACTTCAATTATCTCAATTTCTGTAGGAGATGTCAAAAGTTTGTCAACTGAGAAAATGATATTATGATAAAAATTTTATCAATTGACAGGTTTTTTCATATATCTTATAGGAGCCAAGATAATTGAGCTCAAAGTTGGAAAAGTTCTATAAATGCATTTGTGGTACTTGAAGTTAGCCGTGTTTCAAGTTTTTCGAAATGTTGAGATATTCTCCCGATTTGTGATCAAGGTTCCTGTTCCAAAACAATTTCGAGAACCTTGCTAAAAACTTTATTCCAGAAATAAAAAACATTTAATCAGTAAAATATCTCCTCAACCTGAATATTTGACAAAAAATTACAGTTTCTCTTGGTTCAATTATTTACGCATTTTCTTAAAATCTTTAATATGATAAGTGCTCAACTTTTTCTGTTCAGATCCCACACCAGCTTGGGCGAAAAACGTCAAGGTGTACGAGCCGAACGGATATGTGGATCCTCATTTAAATAAGCACAATATGGGACGAGTTCTCGATGGACCAGTTAATCCGAACAAATTTTTTCAAGGAGTGAGTTCATTGAAGATGTGAACCGCTATAGTACGAATAGGGAAAAAACCAAAGAAGTTTTATATGTTGAAATCGAAACTGTAGTATTTGAAAAACTGAGAATTCAAAATTTTAAACGTACATTTTTGATAATATTATTACCAAGGAATTTGAGGTCAAAGTGTAAATTTCTATTTAAAAAATAAAGGAAACTACACGATAACAAATTGCTTTTTAAACAATTTAATGTTTCTTGAAACTTTGAAAAAAGCGCTCCAATGGAAAATCGTATTGCAATCGTGATTTTTGTAGTTAATTGAAACAGTTGAATTCTTGAAAAAGCTAACTTCAACTTTTTTGAAATTGAGCTGAAGCCCAATTTATGGTTCCGCAGAACTAGAAAAATGTGAAAAATATTAGGTTGGCGGGAAAGTCTTTGTCACTCTGTTTGTTTAATCACTGTTCTCGTATATGGAGGCTGTGTATGATATCGACTTTAGTGAATAACAAGGTGATAAGAACCTTCCATATAAACAAGTCCCCATCTCCTTCCCTGCTCCTCATCTGTAATTGAAACGATATGTTTGTTCCCACTGCTATTCACATCAGACATGTTTTGATTTACCTCTTCCTATCTCACACCACGATGAAGGATTCGGAAACTTTCTTGAAGAATGTGTACAACACACATGCCCCTCACTACAATACTATTCGCAATTGGTTCCATCGTTTCGAAAAAGATGACTTCTCGCTCGATGAAAAGGATCGCTCTGGGAGACCCCGTGAGTTAAAAAGAGACAAGCTGAAGCACGCATTGCAATCGGATCCATTTCAATCTAGCCGTGAACTAGCTGTCACATTCGGAGTTCACCATTGCACAGTCCTTGAAGGTTTGAAGTCTCTTGGAATGAGAAAACTTTTTGGTCGATTCA